GATGGTGGGGGAGGTGAAGGGGAGAGGGATGGTGGGGGAGGTGAAGGGAGGGGGATGGTGGGGGAGGTGAAGGGGAGGGGGATGGTGGGTGAGGTGAAGGGGAGGGGGATGGTGGGGGAGTTAAAGGGGAGGGGGATGGTGGGGGAGGGGGAGGTGGAAGGAGGAGGGTGACATAAATTCTACAAATTTGCAACTAAACAGCCTAATAACATTTTATAATATTTCTGTAACATACATGAGTGTGGAAAGTTTGAAGTCGATCGGCTGAGTTTTGAAAATGAATTCATTTTCCAAACTTGTGGAGGAAAGTTTACCACAAACTTGCACCGACGCGGCCCAAAACAGACGTGAACCTGGAACTAATTTATTTAATGAAAGACAAACTATGACTTACTTAGCATTAAGATTAAAGGCCAAGAGTGCGTGCTGTTTTGGACGTTTGTAAATGGACGCTTGTTGGTCTTGGGACGCTGGTCACTGTTAATAATGTAAGAAAACACGAACAGACTGTATAACACGACTCACGAAATCGTAATGACGTGATTGCAAACAAACCATACCACGGGCGGGGTTAGAACCCGCGATCAGAGAGTCATAAAACTCCAGACCGACACTTTAGCCACTGGACCAGCTGGCCACAGACTGTATATACAGTGAAGAACACAGGTAACCTGTGACGGCCAGGTGACACAATTTGTGTTATCTGACAGCCAGATTCACTTGTCTTTAACAACGCTGTTAAGACGGGCAGATAGATGTATCTACCTGGATGACAGTCAACAAACACACAGTCATAACTGACATGATCTACATAGTGTTTAATTAAGAACAATAAATATATCCACGTCAATATCAAAGTAAATTATATGCAAATTAACATACTAATGATGTCTCCAATATAATGAAGATTCACTACTCTCTAGTGCTCTGCTCTCTAGTGCACTACTTTCTAGTGCACTACTTTCTAGTGCACTACTTTCTAGTGCACTACTTTCTAGTGCACTACTTTCTAGTGCACTACTTTCTAGTGCACTACTTTCTAGTGCACTACTTTCTAGTGCACTACTTTCTAGTGCACTACTTTCTAGTGCACTACTTTCTAGTGCACTACTTTCTAGTGCTCTGCTCTTTAGTGCACTACTCTCTAGTGCTCTGCTCTCTAGTGCTCTACTCTCTAGTGCTCTGCTCTTTAGTGCACTACTCTCTAGTGCTCTGCTCTCTAGTGCTCTACTCTCTAGTGCACTACTTTCTAGTGCACTACTCTCTGGTGCTCTGCTCTCTAGTGCACTACTCTCTAGTGCTCTGCTCTCTAGTGCACTACTCTCTAGTCCTCTGCTCTCTAGTGCACTACTTTCTAGTGCACTACTCTCTAGTGCTCTGCTCTCTAGTGCACTACTCTCTAGTGCTCTGCTCTCTAGTGCACTACTCTCTAATGCTCTGCTCTCTAGTGCACTACTCTCTAGTGCTCTGCTCTCTAGTGCACTACTCTCTAGTGCTCTGCTCTCTAGTGCACTACTCTCTAGTGCTCTGCTCTCTAGTGCACTATTCTCTAGTGCTCTGCTCTCTAGTGCACTACTCTCTAGTGCTCTGCTCTCTAGTGCACTACTCTCTAGTGTTCTGCTCTCTAGTGCTCTGCTCTCTAGTGCACTACTCTCTAGTGCACTACTCTCTAGTGCACTGCTCTCAAGTGCACTGCTCTCTAGTGCACTGCTCTCTAGTGCACTGCTCTCTAGTGCACTGCTCTCTAGTGCACTGCTCTCTAGTGCACTACTCTCTAGTACACTACTCTCTAGTGCACTACTCTCTAGTACACTACTCTCTAGTGCACTACTCTTTAGTCTAGTCTTACCTCACTTACGACAGTTGTGAATGGAGACCTATTACAGAAAAATCACCCTAAACGAATAATTCAGAATGTTTGTATTACACTGATCACTCATGTGATCAGTCTAATCAGACAATACTCAACCCCACTTTTCAAAAGGTTAAATTTATCCAACATTTAAAGAAATTCCATTACGTACCGTGTATTCTACAAGTACAATAAGTGTAAAAATAATCGCAGCCCAGAGACTTGACCTAGAGAGCTACAAAGAGATAACCACGATACAAGAAACAAATACCTTTTATTAAGTTTAAGGAGTTCAACTCAACCTGGCTATAAACTGAATGCACTTTAAAGGATCCATAATATTAAAGTGTCTGACAGAAGTTTCTAAGTGTTTCCAAACAGCCACTACCTTAAAACATAATTTTATAAAACACCTTCTGACCGAGGTGGGATTTACGATTATCATAGAAAATATTAGACATCCTTTTGTAACTTGCCTAAACAACTTTCATCTATGATTCTTTCCCATTCTCTTCTAGTCTCCATTATATTTCTACCCGAAATAGTTAGGCTATTTATTACTTAGAATGGTCTATGTACTTGGTAATTTACTTGGTTTCACATTAGCCTTCTTCCATCTAGGTAGAATGAAAGAAAAGAAGAGGAAAAACATTTACATTCATTCATTCAACTGTTTTGCCAGAAGTGTGTTGACATTACAGCTCAGATGACTCAATGAACTGCAGCATCCTCACCCCATCTTCAGAGTGCAGGCACAGTAACTCTCGCCTCTAGCACTCAAGTTCGATTAATCGTTTTCTCGGAATTTTTTCAAACATGTTACTATGATCACACTCTAACAGCTCGTCAAGTCATGAAAAGCACTTGTTTCCACTCTGGTCTAACAAACTCACTCAAGTTTGTTGGATGTTCAAGGCTCTAGCACTCGGACCCTCCTTTATCCCCCTCCCTCTGAATCCTTCCATACGACCCATACCCCTCCTTCCTCTCACCCCACATTTATATACCATCTTAGACATCCTATTCTGTTTCATTCTCTTTAAATTATTAAATCACCTTGGAAAGTCTTCCACAGCTCTCTGAAATATACTTTCGTTAACCAACACCATCTTCTACTCTCCAAATTCTCTTTATAATATTCACACCATACATAGACGGTAATTATGGCATCTCCACTGCCTCCAGCCTTTTCCTCGCTGCAACGTTTTAAGCTATGTTTCACACACATTCCATTTTTTTTTTTTGCTTCCATAGATAAATTTCTCTGTCTCGACAGACGCCTTAACACACCACTCCCCGTTTTTCAGTTGTCTTTTGTATTATTAACCTCGTCTTTCATAAATCCATCTGCCGTCGAGTCCAATAAACGATATCTGATTTCATTTATTTACCCTGTATTCCTTCACTTCAGTTTGATATTTTGTTTTTCTCACAACCTCGCTCATTCCTGTGTTCACTATTTCCTACTTTTTACAAACTCTTCCAGATTCAACTACCTTTGCAGCCTCTCATCAGAATCTCCAAAAGAACTGTGTTATCAGTCCAAAAAAGACAAATTTGACGTCTCAAACTGTGTTTCACATTCGTTATTTTTTTAATCCCAGACAACTCTCCAGTACTCTAGCATTTACATCTTTTAAAACTATGGTAACATCATACATCTGTCTAAGACCTATTTTTACTGGAAATTACCCGTATCTTCCTCATACCTTAACGTGAGCCTCTCTGTACCCGATTGTCGCAGCCTACTGCGTAATTCAACCGCATTACTCCCCAAAATCACCCTCTGAAATGGCTCTTCTAAATCTATAAATTCGACAAAAAGTTTCCTGCCTTCATCTAAGTAAGGTCCACTTACATGTTCCAATATAACCACTGGATAATCTTGAGACAACTCGTGTTGTTTTGCATTGTACTGTAGTATAATTTCCCGACTACCATTTTATCATTATACATTATCAGTTTCGAATTGATATATTTAATCAATACTCTACTAACCTTTACCTTAGCTATTGCTTTTAACTTTCTGTCAGTATCTTATATTGGATCATTTATTTCAAAAGCTATGTAGTCTTTCCGTGTTAAGTAGCCTGAGTTCTTGTCTATGGTGGTCTGAAGTGATGTGCATTTTATTCCATTCAAATTATAGCGTATTTTGCTTTATGGTTGGAAATAAAATTAACATAATCATCATTATAATTATCACTGTCATGAACGCTATTTAACTGTAATGTGACATGTCAACCAGAAGAAGTGCACAGAACAAAACCCTGACAACTGCAACATCTCTACAACTCTGCAACACATGATACTGAAAAAAGCGTCGTGTGAAGGGAACAAAAAAAAGCACAATACCGTGACTGGAACAATACACAAATAACCCGCACATAAGAGAGAGAGAAGCTTATGACGATGTCTCGGTACGACTTGGACCATTTACAAAGTCACAGTATGACACTGTAAATGGTCCGTATGGTGTGTAGTCCTCATGTCGCTCATTTGACAAGGAAATTAAATGATTTCATTCCTTCACCTGATCATCACCTCCGACATTTCCTACTAATTCATTAACAAGTGTCCAAGGGTTTATGCACTAGTGTTCATTAATCCGTACTGTATTATTATACCTTCTAAAATGATTACGCCGCTTTAATTCAGTACAAATATTTCCTGGAGAGAATCCCACAATTGCCAAAAATTTAAAGTTTATCTGAAGAAATAATCTTCAATTACTGTTCGCCGACCAAAATTTCAAAATTTAATTACTTATTAGTGTACACCTAAACGGTACCATTTTTTTTTCATAAGATGCATCAGACAAAAGATTAATGATGTTCAGATGAAGCCTACTCATATTAGTTCACGGGAAATATATGTTTAAAAAAATTGCAAATTGGCACCTATGCTCTTCAATAACAACCCACCATTTCCTAAGATTCATAATCTATTTAAAAATTAACCAGAGGACACCTACACATACCAATAATTGCATGAACGTTTCTCTATTACACGAGTGTTGACATTTTGAATACGATCATATGAAATGTCGCATGAGGACCTTAGAGAAGAAAACAAGAAATTCGGTCAACCACTATAAAAGTTACCAACTTCGGAGATAACTAACAATATTTCCGGTAAACAGTCTTACCTCTTTCGCAGTGAAGTTGAGTTTCTTGCCATCCAACGTCCAAGTGATGTTGGCCTCCGGGTAGGCACCTCGGGCCTTGCACTCCAGGAGTTCCTCAACACCTGCCCGAACACTCCTTGCTTCCAACAGCTCCACGCTCTGTGGTGCCACTGTCAAACAGATAAATAATTCATTATTATTATTATTATTATTATTATTATTATTATTATTATTATTATTATTATTATTATCAGGAAGCACAACATTCATAGTGCTGATATTATACTTTGGAACTGGGAGTAATTAGTTTATTACTCTCGTTAATAAATTTTGAACACATGGTGTGTGTAATGTTGAACAATGGTGAAGGAAGGTAATTCTATTTTTATCGAAGAACCATTCTTTGAGGTAACTTTGTTGCTGTAAAAGGCTTTTCATCAGTGGTATTGGGACTGTCCTCACATTCCTCAGAATGAGTTTGAATGGCCTAGCCCCTATCATATTGTCGGTCTCATAACAGACATATTTCCCCTTTCATTCAAAGTTACTTGATTCGGAAGAGGAGTAGACAGCATTGTTCCACTCCATGAAAATTGGACCATCTTGGAGCATGCCAAGTGGGATATTCAGTAGTCATGAACTAAACCAACAAATTTTACAACTCTTTGCATTCATTAAACTTTGTCTTTCACTTAATATCTGATTTACGTTGGCTATGCTAGTGTTGTCTGAATAAATCGAGGAGCCCTCAATGTGGTGCACACCTGGTAGGTCAGGAGATGGTTTTCGGGAAAGAGAATAATAATACTGGTCATGTCGGTGGGAAAAACTGCTCAGGGGGGACTCTGGAATATTTTATTTAGTTTTCAAAGATGCTTTCTAATTCATTTTTTCTTTATCTTCTGGTTTTCGTGAGTGATCTCTCGGCTTTTTTTTTGCGAGGATGATTTTGCTGTGGATCTCACTGTGGTGGCGGACTAGTCTGAAATCTTTGAATCTTAAACACTTTTCTGGTATCTGAGACTGGTTCTCATGTGACTCTGGCTCCCTATTCAAATAAATCCTCTACAGCTAACTCGTAACTATTGCTTCGGCTTCTTTCTTCACAATACGGCGTTTTACAAGCAGTCTTTTTGACATTTGACGAGTTCATTCAAGTCTTACTACCACGACTACCTTGACCCTCGTTCGTACCTCTCACGTATTTCATCCATCTCTTCGCCACAATCCAAAGGAATACTTCATTATTCTTTTCGACCTCTCTAAGACATCTCTTACTCATATCTCTTAGATAGAATTCTTTAGGCCACACAGACTTCCGAAATCCGATGCGACTATAGGGTTGTTATCCCTAACAAGCATTACGTGTGGCTGAATTGTGTTTACACAGTTACTGAGGTCAACATTCTCTCTAACCTCAAATTTGTTAATACCACTCCTGTCACAGTACACAGACATGCTTGCCAGAGTCAGTGGTGTGGAACGATTGTTATTTCAAATGACTGTTGTTCATCAGCAACTTTTTCTAGAGTGCACAATATCTGTTACACATGTCATATCTGCTGGTGCCTGTCACACATGTTGACACATTCGTCAGCCATCTAAGTGATCACCAAAATTTCCTGGGGTTGTTAAATTTTTGCCATCCACAAAGTAGTGTTACTAGTTGGTGAATGAGGCACATATACAACACTGAGCTATCATCATAAGCAAAACGGTTTGCCTGTGTAATATTGTTGTTCTCCAGTCAAATATAGAGTTGATTTTAATACTGGTGGCAATGAAATAACTGAAGAAATAATTTTAATAATTTCATTTCAGTCTTGACATAGGCTCAGTCCCTTATCCGTGAACAGAAGGTGGTCAGTCCCCTAAGCTAAAGCAGAGGCATGTGGCGGCTGGAAACTTATGTGCCGGAACCATAAATTACATCTAGTAACTGGGAATGACGTTACAGATGAGTAGGACCTACTAGAGGAAGTACGTCATGCCAATAAATGGTTTAACAAGAGTTAAACAAGACATCTCCTGTACCACGGTTTAATGTTGCTGTATAATAAATACATTAAAATGGTCTACATTACCGACAGATTGATGAATATGGCACAAAGTGCAGCACTTGATTATCATTATTTCTGAAACTATTTGCTTGCAGACGCTTCTTAAGTCAGATACAGAGGTAATTTTAATTTTGGAAATAACTGAAGGGGAGAGAGATTTTTTTGCTTATCTGTCACAGCATCACCATCGTATCTTACTGGACTGGGGATTTCTTCTTAAGCTTTTTGCCATGACCTGCTTTCATTAGTGTCTCCCGTCCACCTGTGGTGCCATCCCCAGCTGCTGCACCTCACTTCTAGCTAAGTATTTAAGTCTCAGTGCTCATGCCTCTGGTTTAGGCTAAATAACTAAGCGCCTTTCATCAAAATTACTTCACATATTCCACTCTTTTCAGAATTTAAATCCCCTCTATATTTGAGTAAAGAAATTTGTTACGTAGATGGAGCACTTCCGAGGTACAGATACCCAGGTGATGCTCAGATCTCTTATTGTGATTCTTCTCTGTATACTACAAACACAACATAATTTATTTAACCTAAATATTATGCATTTTTATTGTTAATATGCTATATTTATGTTTGTATTTCATATCTTTACAGTTTCCATAATTAGGAAAACCGAGTTTTGATTGGTTGTCACCTGTGTTGCCGTGTGTTAATGATTGTTCAGCAGTCCAGATGCATGCTGGGAGTTCTGTCATGTTCACTTGTGACACCTTCAGCTACCTGCCGGTGCCAGACTCTCACTCTCTCTCTCTCTCTCTCTCTCTCTCTCTCTCTCTCTCTCTCTCTCTCTCTCTCTCTCTCTTCCTTTCCTGCTTCACTTCCATCATTTTGTCGAAGAACTCTAATTAGTTTGTTAGACAGAATTGTCCTTTCTAAGGTTTTCCTAATCTGCAATTGTAAGGCTTTTGGAAAGTGATGAGATCTGCCTCCAGAGCCTCATACCAGGGGCCGGCAAACCGCGGCCCGCGACCCGCGGCCCGCATGTTATGCACACCAACTTCAAACATTTATAAACAGTAAAACTAATGAACCCTCATTTCAAGTCACTTCAGTCACTAATTCATTTAAATTTTATTAATTCATTTATAATTATTTATTAGACTGATTTTTTTTCTTGGGCTCTCAAAAATGTGTAAAATATTCGATGTGGCGTCCGTAGTGAAAAAGGTTGGAGGCCCTTACTCTATACAGTATTAATCTCCAGCTCTTGGATCTTTTCCAGGTATTTTGTTTTAGCTCTAGGTCTCTCTCTTTCTCTGCAAAGCCGGAGTGAAGGGAAGATGGGAAATAATATATTATTGGACGTGCCTCGCATGGGCCAGTAGGCCTGCTGCAGTGTTCCTTCTTTCATATGTTCTTCTGTTCTTATTAATACCGACTAGATGTGAAAAAAGACGCTTACGTACACTTCAGGAAATATATTAAAGGAAGATAAGATCTTCTGTGGCTGCTCCTCTTCTTACCTTCGTGTTCATTATGTTCACGCTGGTGATGTGTAATATACACATTATGTTCACGCTGGTGATGTGTAATATACACATTATGTTCACGCTGGTGATGTGTAATATACAAATTATGTTCACGCTGGTGATGTGTAATATACACATTATGTTCACGCTGGTGATGTGTAATATACACATTATGTTCACGCTGGTGATGTGTAATATACACATTATGTTCACGCTGGTGATGTGTAATATACACATTATGTTCACGCTGGTGATGTGTAATATACACATTATGTTCACACTGGTGATGTGTAATATACACATTATGTTCACGCTGGTGATGTGTAATATACACATTATGTTCACGCTGGTGATGTGTAATATACACATTATGTTCACGCTGGTGATGTGTAATATACAAATTATGTTCACGCTGGTGATGTGTAATATACATCTTGTTATCTACAGAACTACTCAATCAAATAAGGAAGAATTGACATTTTCTGGTTGTTATACTACACTTAATATGTATCCTTGACGAGGATCCTTTAGGAGATAGTTTTGAAATATTTTTCATCTGTCTTTAGAAGTTTATTTCGTTTATACCTCGAAATCATCTCACCCAGTTAGCTTTATATATTCTATGTTTATGTACGATAACAAGGACTATATTCTTGGCCCAGTTGGTATGTTCACATGCTTTTTGACCAAAGTTGTTCAACCCGTTTCCAACAACACAGAATGGATCGAATAACATCCAAAACCCTCAGTGGAATAGTTTCCAGCGTTCAATAAAGTTGCCTCCTATTTGACGATGGCAGAATGTGAAATTAAGAATATAGATGCAGATTTAGCAATTTTATATGTAAGAACAAAGTATGTAGTCTGTTAAATCATGGTAAATAAATTTAAACTTACTTCTGAATGGTTTCAAGTTTTAATGGCTAATACGTCTTAGGGCCGGGATAGTAGACATTAATTTTCGTTTATTTATAGGCAAAGTTGTTGATTTACTAAAATAAATAAAACGTGGAATTATTGGACTCTGTCCCATAACTGAAGAATGATACATGAGGTTGGCTTGAATTTTGAAGTTGGAGCCATCTGTGGGCCAGTAGTTTCATTTGATCAAATGATTTTATGCCGTTAACATCATTATACTGTACGAACATGTTCCAGAGTCAAGTTATCCTGATCACAGATGAAGTGTGTTTTGTATAGTGGTACAGCCAGAGTGAAGTTGCCTGAGCACAATGTCCACGTTGCTAATGGGTCGAATAAACTCAAATTTGTCAGCTTAATGGAATGGTGATACTCTTATCTTTAAGAAGAGACTGGATATATATATGAGTGCGGGGGGCTGGGTTTGATTGGGTAGCTTTGGGTAGTGGTGGTTTTGATAAGGACCTGCTTTGTATGGGCCAGTAGGCCTTCTGTAGTGTTCCTCCATTCTTATGTTATGTGCAACAGTTGGGAATCTTTATTGTTGAAATGTTTCGCCTAAGCCATAGGTTTCTTCAGTCAAATATACAGAATAAAAACAGCAGAAACGGAAAGTATTTCAGATTCTATTCTCAAAATTCAGCTTCATATTGCTCCAGATCATAAAGGTGAACTTTTCTGGCTGAGGGACTGACAACCTCAAATTATTTCTAC